GAAGACAAAATGGGCACATTAGTGAGACAGTGCTGAGACACTGAGACCCAAATGACTAAAGTAGAAGGTGTATTTGAAAGAAGCTTTCTGGTTCTCCCAGGTACAGGTCAGGAGAACGGAGAGATTGGAGACCTCAGGGTCAGTTTACCCCCATTTAAGTGGCCATGGTAGCTGTGACCTACCCTCACTTTTCTAGGAAAAAATATATCCCAGCATTCCCAAGATCTTCTCTCTTCAGTGTAATCATATTGTCACCTTGAATATCAAAAGACATATATTATTTTCCTAATGCTGGTCCAGGGCTGTACCAATTGACAGACACAATCTTTGCTTTATTCAAGTTTCCAGTCTGATAGGATACAGACAATTCAGAAAACAAAATGGGGCAAACTTAGCCCAAAATTAAAGCCTCATGATTCCCTTAAGATGTCAAAGTGCTTACAGCTGTACCATGTAGGGGCCATAACAAATGCTACATTTAAGAGGACACTAGGCATGGGTGGGGTGGTCCCAGGCTTGATAAGGTTACTTATGCCCCCAAATCCTTGTGGTCAACCCAGAACAGTCGCCTGGAAAAGGACTGATGGACAGGACACCTTTCCTCCAAAGGAATCCTGCCTCTCCTATATGCCCCGAAATGAGTATGAGTGGGAAGCTAACCAGAGGGAAAAATAGGAGGTGCTGTTAGGGTCAGACAGGATCCAGCAGCCTGGACCCAAGCGCGCGGAAAAGGCCATTGTCTGAGTGGCTTTCTGGACTTCCTGCCCTCAAACACCTACCCCGCCCAACATGCACACTCAATCTCTTGCCTCCTGTTCTGCCATCACTGTGATTAGGAGGCACTACCCACCAAGAGGACGACAGACCACTGAGGTTCTCCTAAAGTGAGAAGGGAAATCACCCAGACCCATCCCCAGTGGGGAAGAGCAAAAAGATAACACAGAGCAGGCCTTTAAGATTACTAGAGAAAAGTGTTTCCAGATCTTAACGAAGATCAGGATCCTCCTTATCTCTCAACCCTCACTCATTTCTCCTAGTTCTACTTATCCAGAAGACGTAGAGTTTTCTGGCACAAGTGAGCAACAGCTGGATGGGGGCGGGGGTGTGTCTGTGTAGGTGTCTGTGCCTCTAGGCATGTCCCAGTGGTTTTTATGTGTGGGAGAGAAGTCAGCAAACAGGGTGTGGTTGTGGGTGTGTCTCACGTGGCATGAGGCATCCACAGAGCAGTTCTGTTGAAATCCCTGGGCTCCTTGCTCTACCAGCCCTGGCTTTGAGTCCATTTCATGACCCTGATGAGACCAGATTCCCAGCTGATGACGCCCATTCCCAATCACCAGCTTCCAGCTCTTTGGCCCCTCCCCCATCCACACGCTTACTCCTCTGGCAGGCTAGCTGGGCTTTTGGCTGGGAACTGAGCTCAAAGCGGAAACAGGCAGTTGGGAGGTGTGATTTATGTCTCTGACTTCACCCCAGGCTGGAGCCCAAACACTTGGACCCTCCCCGCAAGTACCCGTCTGGCAAATTCTCTCCTCCCTCCTCAAAATCTCAGGCTCTTCTAGCTGGTCAGAGGTCTTCCAGGCAACCCCATCCTCACTACCATCCCCCCTCTCCACTAACACTACCACTCACACCTGTAGCTCCTGCTGATTACAGTGATAGAAGAATTAACTTCACTATTACCCACAGGAGGCAGGATTCTATCAGCCCCAAACAATAGGTAAATCCCTCCATATATCTAATTTCCTTCTCTCCTGCTGTTGACCAGTAGTTGGTAGAAACAAAGGGGAGCTAACTCACTCAGAATTCTACCTCTGGCCTCTCAAGCTCTCTTTGCAGATTTAAGGTAATCCTCAATCCTGTGATTGTTTCTATGTCTAGAGACTTCTTATAAACATTCTCAAAGACATCAGAGTGCCATTTTCTTGCTCCTGATCAGTAACTTGATGCATATCTTTATCTGCCATTTGTCAAGAGCTGGAAAGCACTCTCCCACCCCCCACAATCGGGAAGCCTAGAGTCAGAAAATACCTTGCTAGGAAGTGAGAGTCGTCTAACTCCTTCCAGGGGCTCCCACCTTTACCACTTAGAAAATCCTACTACAAATCTAGTTTCTTTTTTTCTCACTTTTAAAGATTCCTCATCAATCAAATGCTCTTGTTAACTTTAGAGAATAGTTGAGGAGGATTAAATGAGGAAATCAATTTGAAAGATACAAAATGCTGCTTCATAGGATTATTTTGAGGTTAAATGAGGTCACATATGTAAAATGCTTAGATCTATACGTGGTACTGGATAACTATTAGCTGTTTTCTCCTGTAATATCTCAAAAATTGGGGAGGAAACTGGGAGTTTGCCCTTCCTAGGCATCTAGAGCCCATGGGCTTATTATAACCTTGTTGGATGGGAAGCTCAGATTCCTAGGTTTTAAGTTTCTGAAAGTACATGGTTGCATGAATGAATGAATCCATGCTCCATTCAGTTTTCTGGGGTCTGGCCTCTCCTTCCCTGGCTTCCTTCCCATCACCCCCTACAGAGCCTTTCCCCTAGATCACTGAGCTCATCCTGGTTACCAATTATTTGTTTATTCCTAGCCCCCACACAAGGACTCCAGCCCCAACCCTGGTTTTCCCCTGAGTTCCTGTATGAGAATCTGAATGTGTTGGAGTAAGATGGAACCTCAAGGATCACCTAGCCCAATTTCTTTGATTTAGGAAAGACAAAATTGAAAGCCAAAGAAGGGCAGACTTGCTCAAGTTGGAACTTCCAAGTCAAGTACCTGGATTCAGCCCAGGGAGTCCCTGTGTGCTTTCAAGGGAAAAAGAATTCTCATCCCCTTCTTCATTTCTCTCTCTCAGTGAGTAGAATAAATCACTATTTTTAACTACCTAAAACATGAGCAAAAGCTGGAGAAAGGCTCAAGTAAGTCCCTCCACATACAAGCTTACTGGCTTCTTCCTTATTTTCCCAGGTCTTTTCTAATCCTTATATCTGCCCCTTCTTGCATTCTTCCCTTCCTCCACCTCCAGTCACACTTAGATGGCTTCTGTGCTAACGTGTATGTCATTTGCACATCAACAATAGATCAATAGATTTGGGGGTTTTTTTGTGTTTGTTTTTTTGTTTTGTTTTGTTTTTTTGAGATGGAGTCTCACTCTGTCTCCCAGGCTGGAGTGCAGTGGCACAATCTCGGCTCACTGCAAGCTCCGCCTCCCGGGTTTACGCCATTCTCCTGCCTCAGCCTCCCGAGTAGCTGGGACTACAGGCGCCCACTGCCACACCCAGCTAATTTTTTGTATTTTTAGTAGAGACAGGGTTTCACCATGTTAGCCAGAATGGTCTCGATCTCCTGACCTCGTGATCCACCCGCCTCAGCCTCCCAAAGTGCTGGGATTACAGGTGTGAGCCACCGCACCCAGCCTTGTTGTTTTTTTGAGACAGAGTCTTACTCTTTTGCCCAGGCTGGAGTGCAGTGGCATGATCTTGGCTCACTGCAACCTCCACCTCCCAGTTTCAAGCAATTCTCATGCCTCAGCCTCCTCAAGCAGCTGGGATTATGGGCGTGCGCCACCATGCCCAGCTAATTTTTTGTATTTTAGTAGAGACAAGGTTTCACCATGTTGCCCAGGCTGGTCTCAAACTCCTGAACTCAGGCAATCCACCCGCCTTGGCCTCCCAAAGTGCTGGGATTACAGGTGTGAGCCACCACGCCCAGCCTAGATTTGTTTTTAAAAAGTGAATTTGTTGCTGAGCACAGTGGCTCATTCCTGTAATCCCAACACTTTAGGAGGCCAAGGCAGGAGGATCACTTGAGCTGAGGAGTTCGAGACCAGCCTAGGCAAACATAGTGAGACCCTGTTCCTACAAACAAACAAAGAATTAGTTTAAAAAGGAAAAGAAGAATGGGTCAATGGCTTTCTTTGAAAGTGTTTAGTCTGAATCCAACACCTAGGTCCAAAGTGGGGTACACTTGACCAGCAGCTTCTGTGAGCATGACCACCCCATAAGCCTCATAAAGGCATTCCTTTTGCCTTTGCCAGTGAGTCTCTAGCATTCCAAAGATAAACCTAGTGGACTGGTCTTTCCTAAAGTAAAGCCAGATTGCTTGGGTTTGAATCCCAGCTCTTCTGCTTACCTTGGGCAAGTTTGTGCCTCAGTTTCCTCATTTTATGGAATAGGTCAATAGTACCTCCCTGATAGAGGGGCAGTGCCAATTAAACAAGTTAATACATACAAAGCTCTTAGAATGCATACTGTGTAGCATAAAGCATAAGCTATTATTATTATAGGAGAGACAATAACTCCAGGAAGCTGTGCCTCCACCTCCACCCCCCATACATACTTGAGCCATGTGGCATGGTTCCTCTCTCTTCCTGGGATCTCATTACCCTTCTCCAAACCTGCCCATCTGGCCCCTGTACAGTCTTACCCTTAGCCAACCCCCAGCTCTACCCCTGGGGCCCAAACCTGGGTGTAGGGGAGGGAAGAAGAAAGAAAAAACGTGGCCATTTTAGGGCAGAAGAGCTGTTAGAGGGGAGAAGGGGTGGGGGCAACAGGGAAGTGGACCCAGAGTTGGGAAGCTCCTTATTGGGAAAGGCCCCCGTCTGATTCTGGGAGACAGAGGCCAGGCCTGGGCACTCAGCCAAGTCCAAAGAGCAGGCCCCAGGCCCTAGTCCTGGCCCCCAAAGCCAGCACCAGTGAAGAGACTAAATATTCAGTTGCTTTGGGCCCTTCTCCCGACAGTCACAGGACACTTTCCCTACCCCAACCTCACCTCTTCTGACAAAATACCCGTGGTGATTAAAGTAGCTAGAACCAGGAGTACAACGTCTCTGTGTATATATGTGTGTGCTGGGAGGAGGGAGAGACTCATGCTTCCGGGCCATAATAAGGTCAAACCACTGTTCCAAAAGTGGCTGTCTCTAGGACACTGCCCACCACCCACAACCCCCACTACCTCCCCCCAAGTCCAACGGCTGGCTGTGAACTCCTCCTACAGGAATTCAGCCAGTTCTGGGGAGACTGCTGATGAGGGGGGGGCCCAAGGGTGAGTAACGGTTCCCGTGGGGATCGGGGTGCCCATGACTAATCAATGAGAGGGTGAGAAATAAAACTTACATTCCTTGACTTGTAGGGCAGTAGCTGGAGGTGGGAGGTGGGGCAGGGGCAGACTGAAGCAAGGACAGCCAAGTAGGGACGCAGAGAGGGAAGCGAGGCTGAGGTGGGGGTAGGGAGCCTTTCCAGCCCTGCTCTCTCCACATCTCAGGCTGAAGGAGAGGCAGGCCCCAGGTAACCAAACACCTGGGTTTCTGCTTCCCATCCCCTGGCAAATAAGCTTCTCCTCCAGTTCATTCAATCCAGGGCTACAGACTTTGAATGGGCTGAGGGAAGGGCACACTGACATCTCATTTGCATTCCTCAGCCCCTACCCCACTTATCTAGGAGTCCCTGTGCCCAGAAGACCCGACTTGGAAAAACTCCCCTGTGCAAGACTGAGAGCTAGACTAAGGGCATAAGAGCGGAAATGAGCCGGGAGCCAAGATGCTGAGAGAAGGAAGGAAGCCAGCCTGCTGCCACAAAGGAGTCAGGAAAGAGAGGGAACAAACAGCCAAGTGCTTCCTGCCCATCCCCTTCCCTGCCTCCCCACCAACCTCCTCCAGCCTGTCCAGACATCTCAGGCCCAGGGGGAGTGGGGAAAGGAGAGCAGAGACCCACATGAAATGCCCTCTAAAGCTTCCAGCTCAGCAGCCTTCATGGCAGAGGCCAGGGCTATTCTCAAAGCAGCTCCTGTATCATAGCTAGATGATCACTCCCGTGTCAGCCAGTTCCAGAAGCCCCCTTACCCCAATTTCCTCCACCAAAGTGACCCATTCCTCTCTGTTTCAAGCTTGCTTTCTCTGGCCCTCCAGTATCTGCAGTTGAAAGAGAACACCATGAGTTTGGGAAGGGACGTGGTGGTGGGGAGGGTTGGGAGAGTTTTAAGAACAGGCAGCCCTCTTCCCCAAACTGCTATCTCACCTCCCACTGCACTAGTACGAGAGCAGGGGCAATCACACCTCACACACACGCACCCCAACTTTAGCCGATTGACAGCTCAGGATACAGATACACCCATGCAAATACACCAACACAAACATGTTCAGATTTTCAGACCATACACACACACAGAGGGAGGTTTTCACCTCACAGGCACATTCACATCACACAGGATCTTTTCCCAGGTTGGCCGGCACAAATGGTGAACACGAGAAAGATGTAGAAACCTGGGCCAACTTGGACCCAAAATATATTCCAGGTTTGGCCCTTCTCCAGACCTGTTTCTCCTTTCCTTGCTACTCTCCCAGGGCTTTCCCATGCAGAACACAGGAGAAGGTGGAGAGGCGGCACCTGAGGGTGCTCTGTTCCTAAGCTGTGATACTCAGTCAGCTCTGTCTGCGTTTCTGGAACCCAGCCCCCCTCCCTGAGGTGATCACATGGAAAATGTCCAGCTGCGGTTGCTTGGAGAGATGAGCTCAGCCAGTCTGAGTGGGGCTGGGGGCCTGGACTCAGCGTCAGACTTTCCACTTCGGACCTTACCCCTCCTCCCACCTCCAAATACCACTCCAGGGATTCAGGAGCAGGAAAGGGGCCAAAGGGACTTCTGACACAAATGTCGCAGTCTTGGACTGGTTCAGAGGGGAAGGGTGGACACTGATGAAGGGCAGAACAGATCTGGAAGCACCTCTAGTCTGCTTCATTCCTGCATACCCACTTCAGGGAAATGAATCCAAAGATAGACCAAAAAAGACAAGGGAGACTAGCTTGCAGTGTAAGAAGTGGGGGAAGATGACTTCAGAAAGTCACTTCAGAAAGTCATCTTCCCAGGGGTGGGAGGGGGAGGGTGGGGAACTCAAGAAAGAGTAGATTCAACTCAATGATCCCAAAATGACAAAGGACATAGAAAGCTGTGTCCTAAATGGAAAGCTGGGGGTGGCAGAGGAAGGCGCAGACCGGTGTTCCACACTGCCTCTCATCGGCCAATGAAGAGTTCCTGACCTGGCAGGAGGAAAGGATGAATCCCTTAATCCAGTCTTCCAAAGTCTATTTCCCACTCTCCGTGACTCTGCACCCCTGCCCTCCCTCTCCTCACGTTCCTTTCCCTCTATCCCTCCTCTCTGTTGTGTGCTTCCCCTTTCCTGTCTCCTTTCCTCTCACCTACCATCTTTCTAGGATCCTCCTTCCTGGTTCCTCCACCCACTTCTCCTTCACCAATCCCTAGCCACTCTGTCTTTTCCTCTCTCTAAACCCTCTCTGTCTACCTCTTTGCTCTTATTTATGTCTCCAACCTAACCCATTTCCCCCTCCTTCTCCCTCCTTATTCTCCCCAGCATAATCCACAGAGCTTTATACATAGTAAGCATTCAAAATGTATACTACTTAGATCAATGGCATTTATTAATTAATGTCCCTTACACAATTCTAGGAACTTAGAGCAGACTGAGATCTTTGTTAGTTAAAATGTTGGAGCCACGAAAGGTTTTGGTTTTTTTTTTGTTTTTTTTTTTTTTTTTGAGACGGAGTCTCGCTCTCTTGCCCGGGCTGGAGTGCAGTGGCGGGATCTCAGCTCACTGCAAACTCTGTCTCCCAGGTTCACGCCATTCTCCTGCCTCAGCCTCCCGAGTAGCTGGGACTACAGGCACCCACCACCTCGCCCAGCTAGTTTTTGTATTTTTTAGTAGAGACGGGGTTTCACCGTGTTAGCCAGGATGGTCTCAATCTCCTGACCTCGTGATCCGCCCACCTCGGCCTCCCAAAGTGCTGAGATTACAGGCTTGCGCGACCGCACCTGGCCAACACGAAAGGTTTTGATCTGAGAAGTAACATCATCAGAGCCTTAGTTTAGGAAGATTAATTTGCCCGCAAAGAGTAGGGTGGATTTCAGGGGAAAATGAGACCCTTTTTTTTCATTTTCTCTCGTTCTTTCTTCAACTGTTTCTTTCTCTCTGACTTCTTCACCATCTGACAGGCTTCCCCACCTGACCACAACTTCCTCTCTCCCTTCAGTGAGTCTTCCCTCCTTCCTTGAGTTTTCCTTCCCTTTACCCCAATCCTGCCCTTCCTCCTCTCAACAACCCCCCCTTCCTAGAACATCTGTAAGCAATCGGCTTCTAGAGAGGGGTAGGGTTGAGATTTCCCAGCCAGCTGTGGGGGTGTGGCCAGCTGTGGCCGACTGGGTGGAAGAGTGTGGCCTGAAGGGAGGGCCGCTCTCCCTAGAGGTGAAAGCTTGGAGTACCATTCCACCGTTCCTGTTCCTAGGCACGCAGCTCTTTAATCAAACCCCAAACTTCTCTTCTTTCCAGGTCAATCTCATCACACACCCCTTTTCTATCTGAGAGACCTGGAAGCCCTAACCCTACCTCCCAGTTCCACAATTCTATCATCTGGAACCCTCTAGCCACATGTAGATTAGAGACTGGAAGAAGACATCCAAAATCCCAACTGCTGGACATCTGTTGAAGGTAATATAAACCGAAGGGTCAGAAAGCTCCTCCTCTTGGCTTCTCCCTTAGGGCTTTGAATCCAATCAAGGACTGAGGCCAGAGGTGGGGGGTGTGGGTATTCTTACTTACTACAGGTAAAGCAGGAAGTTCAATACATTTTTGTACATTAGGCCCAGAAGTAACCACTTGTGAATTGTGAATGTATAAACTGTATACAACATTACCTTCTTTTATACTATTATCTCAATTTAGTAAGCCTCAACCTTGGAGTCCAGGGGTTAAGAATCTTCTAAGGCTTTGTCCCTCCTCAAGTTATAGCTCTGGAAGAAACGGAGGGGGCTCTGCTTCCCAGGAGTGCTCTGTGTCACCGGGCTCATAAATATCAGCCCAAGACTCTCCATTTTACTTTTATGTACTGGCTGCTGGGGACACCTGGAACCTTTGCAGGAATTGCTGTAAACCCCACTTATCCCCTAGTTCAGCACCCTAACAGGTTAGCTCTCCCTGAAGAGAAAGGCAAGGGGATGGACCTATTCTTCTTAGCCCTGTACATGATCCCTGGAAAACAAATGTGCTCATTGTGAGGTGATGATGGACAGGGAGGAATTTGCAGCCAAGGAAGGAGTGTATGTGTTTGTTTGGGGGTAGAGAGATGAGGAGTGCTAGAGGTCCAGAGAACTCATGAGGAAGACTTATGAAAACCAAGGAGAGGGACATGCTGGGCCCCATCCCCAGCTTTGTGCCATTGTGTTAAGGACTAATGGCACACTATGCTCTACAAACACACACACACACCCTGATTCCTACCTGATCAGAGATGCTGTTATCTCTATAAAGCCAGAAAGAGCTGAGGCTAGTAACATAGCATGTCTGGGTTTGGAGTGCAATCTGTGGCCTCCTGCCTTCCTCCCCAGCCTCTTCTGATGCCCTTTCTGTCTAGGATTGATAATCCTTCCCAAGAGAGGGCTGGAAATGGCAGTCGGACTTGTAGAGGTGGGAGGAAACGCCTGGCTCATCCTCAACCCCTCACAGCCCCAGTCGGATGTGCACTGGGAATCCTGGTGCTCCAGGTCCCTTCCTGATGGGCTCCAGATGTGCTTACATCTGGGAAGGCCATCCCAGGAAGCTGACACTCCCACCCACAGCTCCCACCCCGGATGGTTCTCTCCTCTAACTTCCAGGCCCTTGAGCTGAGAAGCTTCAGGCACCCCTTTCCTCTTGAGAGGTAGGTACGAGGCAGCAAAGGGGAGAGAAAGGAAAGTCATGGGGGTGGCCTGAGTGAGCAGATAAAATGAGGTCAATGTTTAGGACACCCCAGAGGATCTTATTTTCCTTTTAACTTCCTATCTGGGGTTGTTACATTTTGCCGTAGCATTCTGGTGCCTCCAAAAATGCCAAAAATAAATTGAGAAAAACTCAAGAACTTTTGGAAGAGAAGACATTAGCAAGAGTGGGGGAAATTCCTTCCCACTGATCTGCTTAATCTGGATTCCTGACACTCTCCTGTCAGTGCCCACCCCTAGTTCCTGTCCCCCTGTGCCTCCCCAACCTAGTCTCGCCTGGAAAAACTCCCAGTTTTTTCCCCACAGAGGTATCTAGTCATAAGAGTCTGAGTCTCTCTCTGTCGCCGAGGCTGGAGTGCAGTGGTGCTATCTCAGCTCACTGCCACCTCCACCTCCTGGGTTCAAGCAATTTTCCTGCCTCAAACTTCTGAGTAGCTGGGATTACAGGCTCCTGCCACCACACCCAGCTAATTTTTTGTATTTTTAGTAGAGACAGGGTTTCACCATGTTAGCCAGGCTGGTCTCAAACTCCTGACCTCAGGTGATCTGCCCGCCTCAGCCTCCCAAAGTGCTGAGATTACAGGCGTGAGCCACCACATCTGGCTCTAGTCACAGTCTTAATCACTGGGTTCAGAGTCCTGGAGCAACAAAAGAACCCAAGCATCTTATCGCTAATACCTGCTTTTGTCACCCTAGTCAACATCTTTCATTCACCCCTCCTGTGCTGTGTGCAAACTGGGGATAGAAAAAGGAGAGGAGTCTGGGTTTATTTTAGGCATAGGACGCAGAGCAGGGGTTTCTCCTGGGTCAGACAGGGGGTGGGGATGGTGGAGGTGACTCACAGATGATAGAGCCCTCAGTTCCTCTAGGCAGAGACCTGAGTCAGAGCAGCAACAGAGCCTGAGGGTGCAGATGGTCTACTCCTGTACTTTCCAATTTCCCTCTCTTAGACATACACATACACACACAGAGAATGGATCCTGGTATAACTGGGCTCCTATTCTACTTCTGGAAATCCCCCCATCCCCGCCTTCAGCTTCATAATTTTCCTAAATATCCCACCTTCCTTCACTCTGTGAGATCCAACTTCTTTGTTTGCTTGTTTGTTTTTGTTTTGTTTTGTTTTTGAGATGGAGTCTCATTCTGTCACCCAGGCTGGAGTGTGATGGCGCAATCTCGGCTTACTGCAACCTCTGCCTCCCAGGTTCAAGCAATTCTCCTGCCTCAGCTTCCCAAGTAGCTGGGATTACAGGCACCCACCACCGCACCTGGCTAATTTTTGTATTTTTACTAGAGACAGGGTTTCATCATGTTGGCCAGGCTGGTCTCGAACTCCTGACCTCGTGATCCACCCACCTTGGCCTCCCAAAGTGCTGGGATTATAGGTATGAGCCACGGCACCCGGCCTAGGAAGTTTTATTTCATGGACACCTCAGCCTCCACCACCCCTACCCAACCAGGCTTTTTACAGCCCAACAAGACCTGAGTCTGTTTCTTGAAACCAAGGCATCCAGCCTCAGTGTTCTCAGAATTTCCAGGCATTTGAGAATCTTAAAGAAGCCACTGAGTCTCACCCCAGAGAAATCACATACATACGGACAAAAACTTCCATCCAGTTTCAGAGGATTAATGGATTGTATACCCAATCTTCCCCACCCCACCCCAAAGACAATGGATCTAGGTTATAATTCCTACTCTAGGATCTTCCCCCATACCCCTGTAGAAACCCAGCCTGGTTTACAGGGCTGACATTGCAGTGGGAAAAGCAATGGCTTTGAAATCTACTGGGATTGGGTTTGGATTTCACCTCTGCCCCTTTCTGTTGGCCTTCACTTAGTCACTTCTCTCCTTCAGGCCTCAGTTTCCTAACAGTAAAATGAGGATCATGATACCTTCAGTGCTGGATAAGTTGGGATAAATGGGATAGAGGCAGATTAAAGGTCAAGCCCAGGGCCAGGAATACAGCATGTGCTAAATAAACCATTATCAGTACTCCCCATCCTTCTTCCACGCTACTAAAATTCAGCATGACTCCTGGCATTAGAACTTGCACCTGTATCCTGAACTCCTCTGTGGAAATTCACTCTTCTGGTTCTAAAACTCCAGCCTTCAAGGCAAGCAGGCTGGCGACAACAGGAGCCTGGTGAGTGTCCTGGCCTTGCCCTTCACCTTCTTCCTCTCCATCAAGCAGACCGTGATTCATAACAGTCAGTCATCACAGCAAATCATTCCTACTGAGCAGTGAAGAGACAGAGGGTACCAAAGAGGTCAGGTTTCAGAGAAAAAACAGAGGCACTTGGAGACACACAGCCTTGGCCAGAGAAAGGCTGAGAGATATACAAGATGAAAAGAAAAAGCTGAGAGAAGATAGAGCATTTAGAGGGACAGTGGGCTTAGAGGAGAAGGCAGTGGGTTTGGAATCTAAACACTTAGGTTCTAGACTCACCGCTAACTGGCTAGCCATATGACCCTGGACAAATCACTTCATCTCTCTACACCTATTTCCTCTTCTGAAGAAGAGTGGACTGACGGCTTCTACCCCTCCTCACTGTCCTTTCTAGGTCAGCTTCCAGGCCTGGAGGTCTGTGCTGAAGTAGCTCTAATTAGGAGGGGACCCCAAGTTCAGGCTGAACCCTGAGCAGAGGAAGAGAGGACCAGGCAAAGGCAGGCATGGTGAGAGGAAAGGCAGGAGGTGTTGGGGCCACTGGGAGAGGACTTATAAGGGCAGAAAAAGCCAAGAGAGGAGGGATATTGGGGAGAGTAGAAAGGCCAGCCAAAGAATGACTAAGGGGCTCCCGGTGTAAACAGGAGCAGGGAATGGACAGGGAGGGGGCCTGTTTGAGTTGGCCAAGGCTGGGGGTGGAGTGGGGAGGAGGACTCGGGCAGGACGCTATGTCCCCTGTCCCCCACCAAGGCTCCTGGGAGGAGCTGAGTCATGCACCTCCTTCCCTGCATTCCTCCCCACCCCCACCCCCAATCTCCCAAATCCTGGGAAAATCTAAAGAGTTTGCCTAGACTGAGAAAGGAGAGTGTTTGGTTCATACACATGTGCTTTGCTGGGCTAAAAAGCAATCAGGCCTCAGCCCTTCTCCTCCCAAAGGGGGTTCCCAGCCCATGGCTTGAGTAGCTTTCACCTAAAGGTTGCCTTTTTGGCAATGCTTGGCTTAAAGATCCTGACCCAGAGATTCCTTGGGTTCCTCACCTAAGAAAGGGTCAGGACTTGCAGATGTGAGGATGGGATACGGGCCAGCATTGCCCCACAGTCTGGCCAGCCAGCCTCTCCCTTGGGCTGCAGCTGGCTCAGGAGAGGGGCTTTTAAAAAAGCAGATGGGTGATTTGGGACAGGAAGTAGAGTAGCAGAGTGAGGGGGAGAGTCATGGCAGGAAAAACAACATTGACTCTGGGCACTCTTATTCTGAGCCTTTCAGCCCAGAGTGGGGCAGAGGACTGGGGAACAGAAGGGACAGGGTTGACTTCAGGGGTAATATTCTGGAAAGGGAGGAGTCCTAAAGGAAAGGGACTGAAAGGCCTCGTAGTCCCCCTCCCCCAGACTAAGATAAAGGCTAGAATCCTGAAAAGTGATCTCATCACACAGAGCCAGAGCTTGGGGAAGAGGTGGGGGGCAGGGGGTCACTGCCTTCCCTTACTAGAGTCCCTTCCTCTACTTCCACAGGGGATCTGGGAAGAATGGGGTCCTGGGTTTCAGCTGCCGGTGTTTTTTGGTTTTTGGATTTTTTTTTTTTTTTTTTTTTTTTTGGAGATAGCCTTGCTCTGTCACCCAGGCTAGAGTGCAGTGGTACAATCTTGGCTCACTGCAGCCTCTGCCTCCTGGGTTCAAGTAATTCTCCTGCTTCAGGTTCCCGAGTAACTGGGATTACAGGTGCGCACCACCACATCCGGCTAATTTTTGTATTTTTAGTGGAGATGGGTTTTGCCATTTTGGCCAGGCTGGTCTTGAACTCCTGGCCTCAGATGATCTGCCCACCTGGGCATCCCAAAGTGCTGGGATTACAGGTGTGAGCCACCGTGCCTGGCCAGGGCTCCCAGTGTTTACAGCCGTTAGGAGCTGAAGGTTGGGTCCCTTTGCAAGACTTCCCACCACCACCACCACTCCTCACAATTCTCCAGGTTTGTAGGAATCAGGTGAGTTTAATCAAGAAGGTACTGAGGGGCCAGCCACTCGCAGGCTTTTGGTTAACTGTCAGATCCAAGGAAGGGGCTCAGCAGAGGTTTACATACCGTAGGACCAAGAAGGGGACAAACTGGAGCAGAATCCTCCTGGTGAACGACCCCAGACTCCTGGGTTTTCAATACTAGCAGCTTGGAGGAGGAGGCAGCGGAACTTGAGGAGCCGGTGTAGGTCCTCTAGCAAGCTGACTGCGAACGCTGTATCTGTACCTGAACTCTTGTGTCCCAAATCCAGCTGGCTAGAACCCAGGCACCCGGTGGCCCCGGAAGGCAAGGGGGAATCCCAGTTGGCCGGATGCCAGAGGAGTCTCCTGTCTCTTTAGACCCCAAAGTCTCCTCCCTAAAGCACTGAGGGAGACCCCACACACATATACAGGCTTCCTCCACCCACCAGAGGTGATTCCTTTCCTCATTAGGAAATTCTCCGCTCCCTTTTCCGACTCGTTTTCCGAGCGTTTACGTTGTACATCTGGAAAGGAGTGGGGAGGAAGGAGGGGGAAGCAGAGAGGAGGGGGAAGAACCCAAACCCGCCCAATCTAACCCAGTCCAGACAACCGGCTTCCAGCTGGGGCTAAAGAAAGGGGGTTGGAGAGGTGCGCCTCCCCCCACGCCCCTTAGGGGTGGGGGACGCGGGCTCGGAGTTCCAGGGACCCAGGAATGCCCCCCCGCCAGCCCCCTCGGCAGGCGGGGGGAGGGCTCAGCCGGGAGTTTGGCAAACTCCTCCCCGCGTTGAGTCATTCGCCTCTGGGAGGTTTAGGAAGCGGCTCCGGGTCGGTGGCCCCAGGACAGGGAAGAGCGGGCGCTATGGGGAGCCGGACGCCGGAGTTCCCTCTCCACGCCGTGCAGCTGCGCTGGGGCCCCCGGCGCCGATCCCCGCTGCTGCCGCTGCTGCTGCTGCTGCTGCCGCCGCCACCCAGGGTCGGGGGCTTCAACTTTGACGCGGAGGCCCCAGCAGTGCTCTCGGGGCCCCCAGGCTCCTTCTTCGGATTCTCAGTGGAGTTTTATCGGCCGGGAACAGACGGGTGAGTGAGGAGGGCTGGCGACGGGATGGGGGTGGGGTAGCCGCCTGGAGACTGGGGGCGCGGCTGGGGTCTGGAGGGGACCGGAGTTTGAGTTTGAGGGTGGAGTTTGGAAGGACTAGAGCTGCAGTTGGGGGCCCGCGCTAAAGTTGGGGGCCTGCGCTGGAGTAGGGAGGGCACCGTGGCGGGTGAGGAGGGGCCCTGGCGTTTGCGATCAGTGGGGAGACATGTGTCGGGTGGGGAGAGGACACGGAGCTGGAGAAGTCTGGGCAGGAGTCTCCGGGCCAAGAGAGAGGAGAGCGCGTGAATGGAGAGCTGAGGGTCTCTGGCTGAAGTCTGTGGGCTGCTGGGACCTGAGGCGGGTGGGGGCGCAGAGGGGGTGCAGAGGCCGGGAAGGGCTTTTGGGGGGCTCCAGGAGACCTCGGGATCCGTAGGGGCCATTGTGCGGGGAGAGAATGGTTAGAAGCCGAATGAACTACGTGTAGTAGGAGGAAAGTCAGAGACTGAGGGGGTCGGAAGGTTAAATGGGGGCCAGCCTCATCCTCCCCTCCCCCCTCAACTCAGGCTGGGGAAGACCCGAGAGAGGAACGGCGGTTCCCTCTCCTTTCTCCTCTGTCTCCTACTCCTCCCTCCACCCCCATTCTCTGTTCAGGCGAGGGGATCCGAGAACTGGGGGCGAGTGCGGGGACCCTGGCAATGGGGGCGCTGGGGCTGGGGGCGAACTCAGCCAAGGGCGGGTGCTGGGATGTGTCGGGAGGGGTGTGTGCGCGCGTGAAGGGGGGTGGGCGGTTTCCCTCTTCCTCTAGCTCTTGGGAGGAAGAGAAAAGCTGGTTTCCTGTAGCTGGTCGGCTGGAGCTGTGCTGAGACCGGGACTTCTGGGGCTGGGGTCGGAAGCTGGGGAGAGGCCGGCTCCGTGGGGCCAAGAACGTCAGAATGAAAGACTCAGGACCCTGGAAGTCTCAAAGGAGGATCTTTATTCCCAACTCAGCAGAGTGATAAGCAGACCCGGACCCCGAGTGCCTAGAAAATGGGGTGCTGACAGGCTTAGGAAACAGGAGTTAGAGTGGAAGCAACATTAGAACCAACGGTGTCTGTTTAAATGTGGGATGGGGGAGATTGGGAAGCAAAAGAGGTAGGTGGTTGCTCCTGGGCTAGGCCACAGATGCCAGATTCCTGGTCCTCCACAATGACTGGTGTAATCCTTTTTCTTCTACATCTCTGAGCTGGGAGCTTCCTACTGCTCACCCCCACCCCACCCCCAAGATCTCAGAGTTTGAGGGGAATTCAGAAGTGACCTGTTTTTACACATGAGACAGTTAACTGATCTCTACTCAGTCCCTGTGGTTTTTGGAGCGAAGGGTTAATCTAGCTAATACAATTGGGGAGAAAGGCAAATTCTCCTTTGTCTGGAGGATTTGGGGATGGGAGAAAAGAAAAATGATTAGGCCTGGGCAGTTGGTTCTGGGCTATTCAACGTCCCCACCCAACCCCCACCCTACCCCCCTGGCCTTTTGCCCAAACCCCATTGCATCACCCTGGCCTGGAGCCTCTGCCAGGCCTGGTCTCCCCCAGGTTCTCTCAAACTTCTTATCACAGCCCTAATGGAGTAAAAAAGAGGGAGGGAGGAAGGAGATGAGGTCTCCTCCCGCAGATCAGAGTATCTAGTTGTCTGGCATTTAACCTTCTCTTTACTCCCCACCTCCCCTAAATTTCCCTTTAAAACACTCCTCTAAAACATCTGGACTTCACACATTCCTGGTCCCCTAGGTGTCTGTCTGGCCCCTGGCCTGATCCTATAGTCTCTAAAGTCCTCTTCTAAAACAGGACCCAGCTCTCATCCCTTCCCTACCCCTTCTGCTCATCTCCCCTCCCAAGAGAACCCAGGTGTCCAGCTTGCACTCCTTCCCTCTCATTTCCTATTTACAATACCCTCTTAGAGTAGAACATTCTACCTTCCCAGTGACCTCCTCCCACCACAGCTAGGCCTTCACCCGCCTCCCCACAACACAAGACAAACATAGCCCCTCACCTACGGCCATTGCCAAAGAGGGACAGCCTCAGTGTTCTTGTTCTTCCTGCATCACCTCTCTTGGTGAACACCAAAACCGCATTAAAGGACAGGGTGAGCACCAAAGCAGTTAGATAGTAGGAAAGGGCAAAGCTTTAAGTCAGACAGAGGTAGGTGTGAGTCCCCACTACTTACTAGTTTTTTGTGTGGTACCCTGGTACCTAGGGTGAGGTACTTAAGCTCTTGGAGGCTGGTCTTCCCGTGAAAATCAGACACCTAACTAATGGAGTTCTGAGGACTAAATGAGAAAACATATACAAAAGGAACCTGGTCTGCAGAGGGTGATCAATAGATGGGCAGCATGGTTTTTATGGGGTAGCTGTTTCTGTTTCTGGTTCTCTCCTTCCTGGCTACCGCCTAGTTCTTTAAGTTCTCCCCCATTTCTTACTTGCTTTGAGTATTTGCTTATACTGGTGATAGTAACAATAGTCTCTTATATTCCTTTAGCACTTTCATATCGATTTTTCCCTTGGATTGTAACAAAAATCCTTGTGTTAAAGCCAAGGAAGCATTATTGCCCCATTTTTAGATATATAAAAACTGAGGCTAGCCAGGCGCAGTGGCTCACGCCTGTAATGCCAGCACTTTGGGAGGCCAAAGCGGGCAGATCACCTGAGGTCAGGAGTTTGAGACCAGCCTGGCCAAACTGGTGAAACCCCGTCACTACTAAAAATAAAAAAATTAGCCAAGTGTGCTGACGTGCACCTGTAATCCCAGCTACTCGGGAAGCTGAGGCAGGAGAATCGCTTGAACCTGGGAGGCCGAGATTGCAGTGAGCTGAGATCACACCACTGTACTCTGGGACAGAGAGCGAGACTCCATCCCAAAAAAACAGCAAACAAACTAACAAAAAATAAAAACAACTGAGGCTTCAGGAATCATAGAAATTTTGAACCAGAAGTTAGTTTAGGAAACGTTCAAGGGAAATCCATCATTTTATGCCAGAGAATCCAAAGCTTGAAGAGAGACAGTGACTTGGCCCAGGACACTTGAAAGCTTGAAAGGCAGGCCAGTTTCAGCTCAGCCCCTTGTTTCCTTCTGCAACTGCCACAAGTGGAGACAGCTGTTCTTCCCCAGCCAATCATACATATCCCTTGTGAATGCACTGGGGGACCCCAAACCAGGTGTCCTCCTCTGGCCTGGCCCATGCTGCTGTAGGACCTGTAGGAGCTGGGCACTGGTCCACTTACTGCTCTCCACCCCTGACCTTGTCAGGCCAACAGAGTCAAACAGTAACCCAGTATTGAACTGGGACTTGGTTAATCAAAAGCTGGGGAGACAGCAGATATGAGAGGAGGGAATAAGTTGGCCATGGGGCAGACCAAGAATGCTGTCCTAGAAATCATGATTCCTGATTTCTGCTTCATATTCCGGGAGGGATTCTGAGTGACCTAAGCACATTACTTAACTCCTCTGAGATAGTTTTCCCATCTACAGAATGAGAACATGGGACGAGGTGAGCAGCTTTGAACTTTTTCTTAAGGAGTGTCAGAACGAGGCCAGCCTGCCTTTATGCCATGTGGCCTGAGGCACCTACAGTAAAGTCTTAAAACCAGTGGATGCTCTCTACAGTGCCTTCTAGCTGTGGTAGTCTGTGTCTCTAAGGACCAACCCTTCCATTTCTGAGGCTTCAGAATAAATTATGGCAATTATTTCTTCTCTCAGACTCTATTTCAGAAGAGTGTACCTGCCAAACTGCATTTAGTAAGAAATAATGAATTCCTTTTCTCATTTTTTTTATTTTTATTTTTTATTTTTTTGAGACGGAGTTTCACTCTTGTTGCCCGGTCTGGGATATAATGGCGCAATCTCGGCTCACCGCAACCCCCACCTCCCGGGTTCAAGAGATTCTCCTGCCTCAGCCTCCTGAGTAGCTGGAATTACAGGCATGCGCCACCACGCCCGGCTAATTTTGTATTTTTAGTAGAGACAGGGTTTCGCCATGTTGGTCAAGCTGGTCTCAAACTCCTGACCTCAGGTGATCTGCCTGCTTGGCCTCCCAAAGTGCTGGGATTACAAGCGTGAGTCACTGCGCCCAGCTGTTGTTTTGTTTTGTTTTGTTTTGTTTTGTTTTTGAGATGGAGTCTCGCTCTGTCCCCTGGCTGGAGTGCAGTGGCGCAATCTCTGCTCACTGCAAGCTCTACCTCCTGGGTTCACCCCATTCTCCTGCCTCAGCCTCCCGCGTAGCTGGGACTACAGGTGCCCACCACCATGCCTGGCTAATTTTTTTGTATTTTTAGTAGAGACGGAGTTTCACCATGTTAACCAGGATGGTCTCGATCTCCTGACCTTGTGATCCGCCCGTCTCAGCCTCCCAAAGTGCTGG